ATTATTCCAGGTTTATGCTGGCTTGATCCGGAACTTGAGTTGGATGGCTGATGGGAAGATGAGCGACATTCTCTCGCCGACTGCAAAAGCATTATCCCGAGCTGCTGTTATTGCTCACAATGAGCGTGATGAGAGTAGGGTTTCTCTAAATAGTTTTCGCATCCATCCTTGCTCTGAAGATTCAGTTTAGGTTGTGTTCGTGCTATTCTTAGTGCCCTGTGGAATTTAGCCTCACACTCAGAACGAAACAAGAAAGCTATCTGTGATGAACACGGGTTTTTACCGCTGCTGACGAGTTTGCTTTCGAATGATGCGAGAATGACGGTAGGTATCGTAGGAATTATTCGTTTGAGTTGGAGAATCGTGTTATCTTTCAGGCCGTCGTGGAAAGTGCCTCAGGCATTTTGAAATACGTTTCGCAGTATCTATCAACGAATTCTAGTCATCTAAGCGCCAGACCTGAAATAGCGGCCCATCTTGTACAGTTACTCAGCAGTGCTTCGTTCACGATTGTTGCTAATACTCTGGGTGCATTGGCCAATCTCATAGCGAAGGACCCACATTTGCAGGTGTTTTTTACCTCCCTTTTTGCATCAAAAATCCATTTCACCCTTCAATTTCTGTTTTCAGTCCCTAGTCCGTCATGATGTTATGGCAATGAACCAGTTGAATGTCTTGCGAAATTCAGCTAGGGAAGATATACGAGCTGCTGTCAAGGCTGTACTCAACCATCTCAATCAACCCGTAGGGTATACGCGATACGCTGGTTAGTTGATAAAAGTTTGAGTATTTTGCTCTTCCATCTATATTTTATGCATCATTTATATTGCTGAATTTTTCAAAAATGATTTGCGTTCAGACATGTCTTCATCTCTCGGATGTGATCCCATCTGTTCTCCTCGTGATACTCGCTTGCTTGCTCTTCGTGGAGTTCGAATGTCTCCTGGCGCGGTCACAGGAATGGGTCCAACTCCTTCCTTTGACCACCGCTCTAGCAGCCTCCCTCGCCATTTCAATCGAGGAGGATTTGTCTCCAGTCATGCGTAAG